TGCTCTACCAAAATAGAAATAAAATTAATTGACCAACTAAAACATATATATACAAAAAAAAAAAATTAGCGGGCATGGTGGCGCATGCCTGTAGTCCAGCTACTCGGGAGGCTGAGGCAGTAGGATCGCTGAGCCCCGGAGATTGAGGTTGCTGTGAGCCAGGCTGACGCCACGGCACTCACTCTAGGCTGGACAACAAAGTGAGACTCTGTCTCAAAAAAAAAAAAATAATAATAGGTCAGAAATTAACCACCAGAGAGCACCTTCTCCCCTTCCAGAAATTCATGGAGTAAGAAATTTACACAGACACCTTCAATCGCTCCTGCAATTACTGCACACTTTTCAGGGCTTACTCTTGTAGTAGGCCCTGAGTCTGATGGTTAATAAAGTTAAACGTAAGATACAGTAGCACTAGGTGGCAGCACTTGGAAGCTGAGGCAGGAGGATTGCTCAAGGTCAGGAGTTCGAACCAGCCTGACAAGAGGGAGACCCATCTCTACTAAAAATAGAAAGAAATTAATTGGCCAACTAAAAATATATACAAAAGATTAGCTGGGCCGGGCGCTGTGGGACTCACGCCTGTAATCTACGGCTCTGGGAGGCGAGGCGGGGCGGATTGCTGGGTCTCGCTCAGGCTGGTTTCGAACTCCTGACCTTGAGCAATCCGCCCGCCTCGGCCTCCCAAAGTGCTAGGATTACAGGCGTGAGCCACTACGCCTGGCTCTGACCTATTTTTAATGCTAGTCCATGCCCTGGGAGAGACGGTCCCAAAAAGAAAGCTCCATTTCAGTGAGGGGAAGGGGAGACCCAGAGCACCGAGGGGCAAGCGTCTTTAGCTCGCTGGTGCAGAGAAGAGCACACGCACCAAGGAGGGCTCCACATAACCTTTTGCTGACTGCTGCTCGCTGCAAAGCTGCAAGCATCAACCAGGGACAGTTGGACGCGATTTTTTTTTTATCATCTGCAGTTTGAGGTAATTCATGAGTCGTTTCCTGTGCACAAGGCCAGTGCTCCCTCGGTGGGCCCAGAGCCCCTCCAAAAACCCGCTGAATCTGCGGCCTTTACCACAAAGCATGCATGCTGCCGTGCGCACGCGCGTGTGCATGGCGCGCGGCTGAGGCTGCGAGCAACAGTCAGGGATACCGGGATGAGTTTGGCTGGGGTTGACCTTCCTTTCAGGCAGGGGTTGGGGGCTTGGGGGCTTTGGGAGCAGGGGCAAGGGCCCCAGGTCGATTCCTGACCGCCCCTTCCGCGCCCCACCCCCCTCACTTTCACTTTCCCCGCCCGCCTCCGCCTCCAGCCCCCGCCCCGTTGGGTCGCGCGCCCCGCCCGCTCCCACCTGTCACCCCCATGCTGACCGAGGCTCTGTCGGGGAGGCGGGGAGCAGGCTGGTGGCTGCCGCCCCTCCACCTCCAGTGCGCCTTTTGGCTAGGGCGGTAGAGGGCGCTGGAGATGTTGGGGGCGCCGCCTGTGATGTTGCCACCTCTGTGACGTCCCTGCCGCAACCTGGCTGTTATGGAGCCCTGCTCAGGATTCCCTGTGCGAGTGGCGGCGGAGGGAGTCGTCCTCCCAGAGCTGTCTGTCCGCAGCCAGAACTCCTCCCGAAGACCTCAGGGCTTTCGGCTCCAGCAGCAGGCCGCGGGTGAGCCTGGCGTCCGCAGGGCTGGACTGTGCACCTGCTCTGCCCACACCACACACAAGGTCACTGACCTTCCCGTGGGCCCACGACCCCTCCAAGGACCTACCTGCTGGATCAACCCAAGGTGCGTGCGCACACTCAAGCCCTTGTGCACAGCTTAGGCTGCCGTGTGGAGCTAGATTAGACAAGGCGCCCCACGTGTTCCTGCCCCAACCAAGGAATTCATTCCCAGAAAGTCATCCTGACCCCATGCAGGCACTCAGCAGGCAGCTGGGAGAGGCAGGAGTCCAGGCCCACACCCAGCGCAGTCCTCTGGAAGCCAGGCCTCAGGAGCAGGGTGGAGGGCACGTGGTGTGCACCCTGCATCCACGCCTGGTCAGTGCCCAGCGCCCCATGCCTTCTGGTGGTACTGGGCTGCCCAACTTGGACAATGGCACAATGTGTGCAGGCTTTGGCGTCCTCTTCCCCCTCCTCTTCGCCTGGCATTGTTTGGCCAGGGACTTCCCTGCTGTCACTGAGCGGGGCATCCTGGTCTGAGTGGACAGGATCCCCCAAGAGGAGAGGTGGGAAGAGCAGCCTCACTCAAGGGTTGAGACAGTCCTTGCCCAACGCGAGGACACTGAAAGGACCCCACCAGGAAGGCCAAGGAAGGCAGCTGTTAAGAGTCATTCAGCGAGCAGGTAGGGAAGAGTGGAGACACCCATGACCTAGAAACTTGTCATCACCTCACACTTTATTGCTTACAAAGAGTTCTCTACAACCCACACTCTGCAGTACCAAGGCTGCAGCTCTTCGTGTGCTGGGCTAGGGGGTCCCTCCCTGGGAGCAGTCTGGCTCCATGTGAACAGCCGGACAGAGGCTGCCTTGGCAAGACTGAGGACGAGCTTCTTCCAAGGAGTCTCGGTGTCCTCCGCCCCCAATGATTCACAGTTGATTTAATGCTACATGAGTCCTGAGCAGCTCCCCCCAGAGGAGAGGCTGGGAGAGGGCAGTGGGGAAGGGGGTGCTCATCTTAGAGAAATCTGGAAGAGGGTTGAGGGGTCACAAGCATGGGGGCAGGTCAAGACTGAGTGTGTTCACCCCATCTCCTGGTCTGCTGGGCTCACACAGAGCCACTGACCCACCCTCCTGGAGGGCGGCTGTGAAAGTGTTTTGAGGTCATCGGAGTGCAAAGTGTTGCTGGCAGTGCCCTACGGCAGGGGCAGGGCAGGGGGCTGTGAGTGTGACGCCCAGCTGGGCTCCTGGGGAGCTGGTAGATGGGGTGTTGGCAGTGGGGCCTGGGGCACAGGGGCGCTCACATCCGCTGCTTTCTTTAGCAACTATCATGCCTCATCCACAGACCCTTCCTGTCACGTGGGTCTGTGTCACCCTTCACCTTTACTGATGAGGGAACCGAGTGCCAGCCAGTCAGTGGCAGTGCTGGGCCTGCTGCTCTAGGGCAGAGCAGGGCCAGCAGCACAGGGGCACGTGCTGGGGACTGAGAACCACTTCACTTTAACGTCTCCTTTGGTCCTTGGCTGAAGCAGAGTTCAACTCAGGACCTGTGTGGCGACAACCTGAGAAGTGTGGTGTATTCTGCCAAGGACGCTTCCCAGGGTCGGGCATTCCTTCCTCCTAGATCCAAAGGAGTTAGGTGGCTAGGAAAGGCCAGCCCGGGGGGGTCAGAGGCCCTCCCATTAACCCAAGGACGGGCACACCTGCGGCCCTCGTCCTGGACCAGACCTGGGTGTCGCCCTTCGACACGTGACACCCTCGCACTGGCCTGGGGGCCAAGGGGCTTGCCCACCCCTCCTGACCCAGGCCAGAAGCTGCTCTCCGACTGCCAGCAAGTGGTCACTGATCCAAACGGGTCAGGCCATCTGTACTGAAGCAGGCAGAGAAGATCATCTTCATTCCCGAGGAAGAGTCCTGCCTTCCTCCTTGTCTTCTCTCATGGCGGAGTGTTCCCTTGGCCAGTGGGGCAGGACTCAGGTGGGAAGTCGTGGGAGGCTGTTGCTTCCCCCGACTTGGCTGCTGTGAGCCCCTGGTCCCAGGCTGAGCCTCGTCTCAGGGCGGCACGGCACGAGAAGGCAGGCTGCTCCGGGCAGAGCGAGCCGCGGGGAGGCGGGGCTAGGGCCTGTTCTCCAGCTGGCCGTGCTTCACTCTCCAGCTCCAGGCGAAGCTGCCATCGGGGGCCAGTGTGCACTGCAGGTCGATGCCCGAGTCTGGCACCTCCATGTCATAGCGAACAGGCTGCCCGTCTTTGGTCACCAGGCTAAAGGCTGCGGCTGGGATCTGGGGATAGAGCAAACCAGTGGGCTGAGAGAGGAGCGTGGTGCTCAGAATCGACCTGGAAGTGCAGACATCTCGCCCCAGCCAAATGGCAGGCCCGAAGGCACTGTCTGCTGTCATTCTGAGGACCTGGAGAATCCCACCTGGCCCAAGTGTGGGTCTGAGAACCCCTCAGTCACCACTGCTGGTCTTGCCCTGAGACCCTGGGAGGCATCTGAGGATATGTCCGATTATTCCGTGGAGTGCCATTTCTCCTATTCAAAAGCCATCTTCCTGGAGGGCCGTGCCAGGTGTACTGGCTTCTGGGGACTCTGCCCCTAAGTGCATACCTGCTCCCTTACCTGGCTGCTGATGCCAGTTGCGATATCTCCCACCTTGACCCGGTGGAACTCTCGGATGTGCAAGTGTTCGCCATTGAGAGACTGTATTTGGACTTTCACACCTAGGAGGCAGGCAAGGTGACGGTCAGGAGAGCAGTTGCTGCTCCCCAAGGAGCAGGGTCCTGGCAGGGGCTGGGGAACCTGTCCCTTTAAGTCACTCTGCTCTATTTAGAGGGGAGCAGGTTGGACTGCGACGAAAGGTAGGATGCAGAAGCCCTAACATCCTATACCTGCTAGCTCTTCCTGCCCGAGCCGAGGTTGGCTCCTGGGGGAAGCAGTATTCCAACTTGAATGCAAAGCAGGAATGAAGTGAACACAAAGACTCTTAAATGAGATTGTGGGCAACCGTGATTGTTCCCTGAGCTAAAGCAGCCTTTGGCCAGGTCACGGGGGCCCCATGCTGTAAGTCACGCTGGCCCTAAGGACAACGTGAGCTGCTGAAGCCCTTGTTCCAGCAAAATCACTACACGACCTAAGCAACCAAGCTTGGAAATTAAGAAATTCTATGTTGTCTTTCTCATCTTCTGACCTCAAATAGCAGAGGAGGATTCTGAAAAACGTGTTGCCAAGTTCTCGATTAAAATGCTCATGGGTCCCGTTCCTTCTTTTTTCTCTTCAGAAGAGATTAACTGCTCAGTTTCTTACTCCAGGGAGACAGACTGCTCTCCTCCCCAAGCTCGGGGGCCTTCTGGGACTCCCTCAGCAGCCAATGAAGGGACAATGGCTCTTCAGTGCCCCATCGGGAGAGGCTCGTGGGCGAGCCAGGTCCTTTCATCTCCCTTCCCCCCGCTATGCCCAGGGAAGGGAGACATGAACCCCTCAATGACACCCTAGTCCCAGGCAGATCAGCTGCTGTGGGGACTGTACCGTTGAAGTAGCTTGGGGTGTCAGTGGGCCGCCCCCGGGCCAGCACCATGTTCCAGCTAGAGCTTCGGGCCTCTGCCTGGCTGCTCCACGAGTGCACACCGGAGCTGAGGGTGTCCCGAGAGCTCTGCGAGGCCTTTGATGGGTTCTGAAACAACAAGAGGGACACAGACTGAGGCCCCTAGGCTCGGAGCCATCCCTGGCCTTGGTCTCACTGGGGTGATGAGCTGCTCATGGCCCATGCTGGAGCAGGGTAAGGAGTACTTCTGTGGGGACCAAGGCCTACTCCCGACTGTCCCTAGTACGTAGTCCCCAGGACTGTTGAAGATGGGAAACCAGACCTGCCCCACACATCCCAGTGAGGACCCGTCCCAGAAGGAAGGGGTGACCCCTGCCACCCTCCCTTTACCCACTGCTTGCACACAGCCCATTCACCACGGCCACAAAGCCACATGCTTGGTGTCAGGGCCGGGAGAACCACATCACTGGAGCCATGGCCAACTCACCTTCTCACTGTCGTCTGACAGGGACAGGCTGTCGATGCTGAGGCAGGAGAGAATCTGCTCCTGCTCCTCCAGAGAGAACGGCTGGGACAGACTGTTCAGGAATAATTCTGCGGGAAGAGTGGAAGGTGGCTGTGAAAGGCGGCGAGGAGGCCAGCTGTGTTGTCAGGTGCCATCCTGCTGGGGAAGGGGCTGAGGGGCCATGCGGAGGGGAAGGAGAGGCACAGCCCTGGCGGGGGGCCCAGGCCCAAGGCCACAGCTGCAGATGCCCGCACCTATTTCAAGCTGCTGCAGCTCCTGCTCGGGGAACGTGCTTCTCCGCTCCGGTGAGCTGGGGTTTCTGGCAGGGGCCGGGTCCAGGGAGGACAGAGGCAAGGGTTCCCACGTCCCAGACTCCTCCTTGCTCGAGGTCAAGGGTGGAGACTTGTGCGGCTCTGGGGGCTCTGGTGGCAGAGGAGGCTGAAGCTGAGGGGCCTCGGCTGTTGTGTCCTTGGCTGGCTGGGGCCCGGGGTCCCCTGGTGAGAGCTCCCTTGGCTGGGCGTGCAGACTCTGGTGGCAACTGGGTTGGGCTGGCGGAGGATGTCTTGGTTCTGTATATTCTCCCCTCCACGGGCTCTTCAGGCCACCCACTGTAAGACAGAGCGCAGGGGTGAGCTGGAAACCTGCCGGCCTCGGCCCAGCACAGCAGGAACGGCTCTGCCCAGTGGAGGGCTATGGCGGGGAGCGGAGAGGGGCACTCTGCTGGGGCCACTATGGGAGACCGATCTAGGAGGGCAGTGTGGTGGCCTCTAGAGGAGGCCTCTTCAGTAAGATGGTCACACATGATAGGGACAGGACTGCATTTCTTTCTTTTATTCCATTTTCCTTCTAGGTATCAGTAGCAAATTCCAAAACTACAGCAACAGCTCCAGAGGACTTTGTTAACAGAAAGAGAAGACTTACAATGAGCCCCGAGGCAACATCAACTCAAGAATTTCCAGGAAAACTAGCTGCCCTGACCCACCCCTCTCCTGCCCCATCCCCACAGTGGGTGCTTCCTGAGGGCACTGTTTCTCTGGCCTGGGGCAGCTCAGCCCTGGGGCCATTCTTGTCATTGCATCACTGCCACCTGGCTTTGGTGAGGGGCTGTGCAAGCTCTCTCTTGTTTTATTTATTTCCTTTCATTCCTCCCACCATTCCTGCCCTGCTGTCCCCCAGGTGACATTCTATTATGTTCCATGTAGCACTTTTGAATTGATTGCATGCCTGCAAAATGCGTGTTGTTTTTATTTATCAATTTTTTAAAATATTTTCTAATTTTTTTTTTTTATGTTATAGCACTGAGATCCCAGGAATATCAATTTTTAATTTACAAAGAAGACATTATGTTCTAGGTCCCGTTCTGTTGGTTCCTCTGCTCACTCAGCACTGTGGCTTTAAGATCCATTGTGAACTACTGCTGGGTGCCCCTCTGGGAACCCCCACCCTCTGCCTCTCCACTCTCTCTGTGAGGGACTCCCAGTGGCACTCAGCTCCCCTCCCACAAATGAAGCTGCAGGGCACGCCCTCAGGTGTGCCCCTTCATGGATCTGCAGAATTCCTTTGGTGGAGCACCCGTGGAGACGCTCAGTCTCAGTTTGCAGACAATGGCCTCAGTGTCGCCAGGTGACCTCCAGAGTGGCTGTGGCCTTGTCCACATGCCCTCCAGTGATGCCTCAGGCTCCTACTGCCCCACATCCCCACCAGCTTTGATGCTACCAGCTTTCTGCTCTTTCCCGGTCACATGGCTGGCAGGTGGCACCTGCCTTTATTCTGTGATTGCTGATTCCTAATGAGTTTGAGCCCTTTACACGTTCTAACCCTCTTCCAGGGCCTGGCACTAAGCCTTGCACTCATATCACCACAGCCTCCCCAACAAGCCCAGGCTGCTGGCATCCCTGTGCTCTAGATGGGGAAGCTGAGGCTCCGAGAGGGAGAATGGCTTGCTCTGGACCAGTGCCCGCCCTGCCGCCTCTCTGGGCCTGTGGCTGTCAGTCTGCTGGGGGCCGCCCACCAGCGCGGGGCTCTCACCTTGCTGCAGCGCCTGGCTGACCTTGCCCCCCAGCTCCGCCGCAGATGCCCGGTGGCTGGGCTCTTTCCGCAGCCCCTCTTCGATGGCCTGGGCTGTGAGAGGGGCGCAGGAGGGTGGGATCTCCCTCACAGGTGGAGGCTCGCTGGCAATCTGTGGGGGTGAAAGGCAAGAGGTGAGGCCTGCCTCCTCCCAGTTCCCTGTGCCAGCTTTCTGGTCTTGCTTTCCGCCCCTTGCCCCCACCGCCCGAGGCTGTGCTGGGCTCTGTCACAAGGAATGGAGAGTCAGGGCTAGAGCAAGGGCTGGCACTTTTCCTACAAAAGGAAAAAAAGGATCCAGATAAGATAGGCCAGAGCTGAGCAGCAGGATGCCATGGGCTCCAGGCTGGCCCATTGTCAGGAGGCGGGTGGAGGTGGCCTACGCCATGGCCAGAGGGAGCTCTCCCCCTGGCATGAACCCAATGAGTCCCTCAGCTGGGATCTCCTCTTGGGCCCCCAGTTCTGGGTGGCGCGTATTTTAATCAGAATCCCACATTTATGACGAGGCCTCCCCTGCTCATGTGTGCCCCTTGAAGAGCTGCCCAAACGGGCTTCCCTTCCTGGCCACCCCAGGTCTGTCACTGACCTTGAGGCAGAGCGGGCCCCGGAAGTACTGCGTCCAAGGGTGGCAGCCGTTGAGCATGTGCAGCATCATGCAGCAGCTGCTCCAGACGTCCACCTTGGCGTCGCACGGCTTGCCCAGCACCACCTCTGGAGCCATGTGGGTCTCTGTGCCGGGGATGTAGTCCCCTGAGAACGTGGGTGAGATGGAAAGTCACCTGTGAACTCTGATGGGCAAGAGCCTAGGCAAGGCCCACCCCAACTAATTCTTGGTGCACCTTGGATGTGTCTCTGTTAAAGAACTTTAAATGCAGAAACAAAGCCTCCAAGTCAAACCTGCTGGGGAGGAGCTAAGCCAGGGACCCGGCTGGGGACCTGTACAAAGAAGATCATGCACGACATGGGCTCTGCCCTTTGAACCAAATCCTCAAAGTGCTTTTTTTTTGAGACAAGGTCTTGTTCTGTCACCTGGGCTAGAGTGCAGTGGCATCATCATAGCTCACTGCAGGGCTCAAGCCATCCTCCTGGGGCTAGGATTACAGGCATGAGCCACCCCACCCAGCCTAAAGTGCTTTTTAAAAATGGGAAGGGCTGCACAATGAAAATTAAGTTGTAGAAGACAAATTACTGGTATGATATTCCTGAAATATTAGTAAGTGGAAAAAAACCCCAATAATACAAAACTTTTATGCACAGAAGACTGGAAGGCTTGATGGTAGATGTTAATGGTGTTTTTTTTTCCTGGTGATTTATATTTAAAATTTTTGCTTAGCTCTATTTCAAAGAATGTTAGAAAAGGTATTATTTTTGTAATAAGAAAAAAACCCTACTAAAGTTACTTTAAGGCGGAGGTCAGGTGTCTATATTCAATTTACGGCTTCAGAATTAACCAACACAATCCTTTAAACAATACACAATCAGATACTTTTAAAAGATTGTTCTCCCTTTGGTCAAAATGAAACCATTTTATGCTGAATGTCATAAATGAAAAAAGCAGGGCACAAAATCGTGTTATAATGGCCTTAACTAGGCACAGGAAAAAAACTTGAAAGGAATTATCTAAAATATTCATGATTATCTCTGGGCAAGAGGAAGGCAGGAATTCTTTTTTTCCTCCTCTTTTACATGCTTAACTCTGTTCTTGCCAAATATTTCACATTGGCCATGAATTATTTTAATAATCAGAAAAAGAAAAGTTAAAAATATATGTTTCATTAGCTCTGGAGCCCAGGCTTCTTGGTCAGTCTGCCCACTGTGGTTCTGGCCAGCTATGGTCAGAGGGGCAGGAGAGCTGGGGTCCCAGACTGGCAACACAGCACCCCCAAAAAGGCCACACAAAATAGGGCATGGGGGGCAGAAGGGCTCCAAGGCAGAAGGCCTGGAACCTAGGGAGAGTCACCCAATCTTTCTGTTCTCTTCTTTGTGAGAAGAGCATCAGAAATGAGCACCTGGGCCAGGCATGATGGCTCAGGCCTGTGATCCTAGTACTCGGGGAGGCTGAGGCAGGAGGATCGTTTGAGGCCAGGAGTTCAGACCAGCTTGAGCAAGAATGAGATGCCGTCTCCACAAAAAATAAAAAATTACCCAGGCACAGTGGCAAGTGCCTGTAGTTCCAGCTACTCAGGAGGGTGAAGCAGGAGGATCGCTTGATCCTAGGAGTTGGTGGCTGCAGTGAGCTATGATTGGGCCACTGCACTGCAGCCTGGGTGACAGAGCAAGACCCTGTCTCAAAAACAAAAACAAAAAAAGCACCTGACATCCATTATCACATTTACACATAACAACAAAAGCCTGATAATCACCCAGCGTGGCTGCGGGGCTTAAATGCTTCAGCAGACATGAGTGCTGGCATCTCTTGATGCCACGGTGGAAAGCACAGGAGGCACATGGCTAATGCATACTGAGGAGGGGTGGTGGGGGACCTTACCTGTGAGCAAGGACTTCCCCAGGCCATCAGGTTGAAGACACACAGCATGCCCAAAGTCACAGAGAGCTGCATGGCTCCCGTCGCTGGACAGGAGCACATTGTCAGCTGTCATACAGACACAGGGGGAGGAAGAGGAACAGGTGAGTCACGTCGGGCCCCAGCCCACCCTGGCTCAGCTTGGCCTCCGAGTTGAGGCAACTCCAGTGAGGCAACTTTCTGGCAGTGCCTACACGGCAGCTGCTGCTTCCGATTAGTTTCATTAGTCATGGGAGAAGGGAGGAGGGAATGGGCTGGGGCTAGAAGCAGGCAGCAGGCAGGATCTCTGAGGTGAGCGGGCAGGAGCAGGGTTTACTCCCTGGGGTGCTGCCCCAGCCCTTTGCCAGGGTTCTCTGTGGGTACCATCTATTGGAAACTACGGTGCCCGGCTGAGGGCTTGGAGAACATTCCTCTTCCTACTGGGCACAGCTGTCAGCCTGACTCAGGCCCTGCCACCAGAGATGACTGGGCAGGGCTCAGGAGAATGGGGGGAAACCAGGCAGGATGGCATGAGGGACGAGCCCACAGGGGATCAGGGCCATGTGGGCCTGAGCCTCACCTTTGACATCTCCATGCAGGATCCTTCGAGTGTGGAGGTACTGCAGCCCCTCCAGGGCCTGGCCCAGGTAGTAGAGCGCCCGGTCCTCCGGCAGGCGACCCTGCTGCTTTATGAGCTGGCCCAGCGAGCCACCTAGGAGACCACGGGCCAGGCTTTACATGGGGCTTTCCCAGGCCTCGGGGCCAGCCAAGGGCAGGAGCGAAGGGCAGCTGGTGGGAAAGCAGGCCTGTCCCGCAGATGTCACAGGGTCAGGAGGTTAGAAATGGACTGACTGGCTACCAGTCGGCCTGGGCAAGATCAGGGGGAGCTCTCGGCCCTGAATTTGGAGGGAGAGTGGGGCCTGGCTCCTTACCTTCCAGCAGCTCCATGAAGATGTTGACCCAAGGACCTTCCCTCACAGCGCCATACAAAGGGACAATTCTGGGTGAGGTCAACCCCGCACATGCCATCAGCTCCTCTGCCCGAAACACTTCGACCCGCACCTGAAAGTGCCCAGAGGCAGCTGTGAGTCGGGGTCAGCGGACCTGCTGGACCCTCAGAGACTAAACGGTGTACCCCATACCCTTGGTGTCAGGTCCAAGTTCTTGTCCTGAATTAAAGTTCTGCAGTGCTGAGCATGTGCAAAAGCTCACACAGTCACACAAAAACTCCATTCCTTACCCGGGCTCCTGGCATGCTGCCCACCCTCAACTCCGCCAGACACAGAACATTTTTTTCCCCAGCCGAAATGTCTGACACTTTCTAGACATGGGGCCTTTTGTTTAACACCATCCACATCTACCCTTAGAAGCTGGGTTTCTGACAGGTGTCTCTGAGTCCTCGGCATCCCTCCCAGCACTTAACTCCTGCTCTGTCTGTCTCCCTCCCAGGGGACGAAAGGTCTAAGCAGGCAGGGCAATGTTTGTTTGTTGTGTCTGCAGCTGCTTCCCCAGCATCTGGGCACAGGAAGAGGCTTCTGGGGAGGGTTTGGCTCAGGCAGGTCTGGGATCATTCACTCCTTTCTGCAGGGACCAGCAGCTTCACAGGAAGAAATAGGCCTTAGATACAAACATCCTGGGCTCAGATCCTAGTTCGGCCATTTCAAACGAGGCAGCACACGTCCCATCAACGTGTGTTTCCCAATGTGAATGGTGGGACAGTGGGGTCTGCTCCTGGGTAGGTTGAAAATTTGGAAGGAGTGCCAGTAGGAGCCCGGGAAGAGCTAGCTCCCCACTTCCTCCAGCTCAAATCAGAGCAGCCCATTAAACACTTAGATTTCATGAACCCTTATCCTGGCTCCTGCTGGTTCTCATGCAAGCCTTAAGTGGCATCGCCAGGGGGCGCCAGTGGCAGCAGCAGCCTGGAAGAGCCCTATCAGGGATGCCCTCTTAGAGTGCAGTTTGAGACTTGCTGACTCCGCAAATGAGAGCTCTGACAGTGCGGGGGTTTTGGACATTTGCCTATCAGTGGAAAATGCCTTTCTTCTGTTACTTAATATCTGGCTTGGTTAATAACCTCCCATGAACTTTGACTCTTTGTCAGCGTTTCCAGCTCTAAGAGGCCTGTGAACCTGAGTGGGAACTAATTCACCAACAAGACTGGTGTTAGCCAATGTCTTTAACAGTGCCACACCCAGACTGAGTTAAAGCACCCTGGGGCACCCCAGAGAACTCAGAAGGACACCAAATGCATACTTCACATTTGAGGGAACAGCCACGCTCACACCGTGTCAACTACTAGCTAGACACAGTTCAGCTTTGGCATGAGGTCACGCTATGTTCCTTTGATGACGAAGCTGGACTCCAGAGCTCCCTTTCCAGGCGTAGCCTGTACGTGCTGCACGTTGTACCCACACGAGGTGCATCCCCAGGCAGGAGTGCAGCCAGTGGTCGCCACTGCCAAATCCAGGAGCCGCTTCCCTCCTCCAAGCTGCCTATGTCCCTGATGCCGGCACCACCCTTTCCTCCTTGAACTCGCCCCTCTTTTTTTTTTTTTTTTTTTTTTAGTACTCTTATCTGCTTTATTCCTTCAGTAAAAAGGGGGCTAATGGCAATCCTCTAAGTTCTTTTGAAGACTACAGGAATGTAAACTATGAGAAAGGGACCAACAGAGTACTGGGCACACAAATGCCCAGTACAGGAAATATCAGAGAGTCCCCCTTGTTTTCGCATCACCACCGAGGTGTTTGTCCCTTGCTCCATTTTCAGTCTAAATGTGTGTCCAGAGCTGGAGGCTGCTCACTTTTTCCCCATACAAACATCTATCCCCCCTCCAAGCCGTTACAACTCTAGTTCCTTCAGGCCACAACATCTCTGTCCCCAGGCTCTGCACAGTGTCTGGCACAGAGCAGGTATTCGGTGACAGCTGGGTTGACTTGGCCACACTATTCCAGATCAGTGGCAGAGCCAAAAGGAGGCTCCCAGAACTCCACGCTCGAGCCAAATGTTCTAACATGAACCATTCTTAACCCTCTGTGGGCCACAGACCCCTTTGAGAATCTGGTAAGTGATATGGGCCCTTCTCCATCAAAAATGTGGATGTGCCCATATACACTGCACGTGCACACTTATACGCATACAGACACACACTTTTGAATAAAGTTCCCAGAATTCATGGAATCCATCCACTGACTAGGATAACAACTTCTATATTAGCTGCTAAAAAGCACAAGAGAGTTATATATGTACCAACAAGGAAATCTGTCCAGTATATGCCATTACATGAAAAAAACATGGTACAGGATAATCTCGAATAAGACCTCATCTTTATAAAGAAACAACTACATGTTTACACAAAATGTCTAAAAAAGGTTTATGTCAAAGGGCAGTTACTTCTGAGAACAGGATTGGGGAACAGGGAAACTTTAGCTTTTTTGGGTTTCATTTGAATGCTTTTATAATGAATCTGTATTTGTTTGCAATTAGAAGATTAAACAAAACAAATAAAAACCTTGGACCCATGGCCAATCAGCATCTGTCCAAGGGTGTTCTAGAAGGAGGGCCAAGGGTGTGCTGGCACGACCGATTCTCCCCAGGGGGCACTGGAGGGCACGGACCTGTTCTGACCCTACACAGCCTGGCCTCTGATCGCTGGCCTACCTCCCAGTCCCTACCCCTTAATCAGGAAGCTGTTTCCCATGTGATCTTCCAGCTGAAAACCCTAAAGGCTACCACTGCCCTGAGAGAAAGGAGGGGCCATCTGCCCAACCAACAGCAGCTGTGTGGGCTGCAGAGCGCCGTCTCCACCACGTGCTCCTAGGTGGCAAGGAGGCGGTTCTCAGAGTGGCTGGCTCCGGTGGGCTTGAGCAGCAGCCCTGGTGCTGGGAAGTCCACGCCTTGTGCTTGAAGCTTTCCCAACTGCCTTGGCAGGGGAGGGTGAGAAATGGAGTATTTGTCCTCTTCCACTATATTAGGGTTGTTTATCTTGTTGCCTAGAACTCTGAGGACCTCAGTAGGGGAACAGCTGAGAAGCCCGGTGACTAAGCTCCCAGCACTGGGTGCCGGTCTCTAGGACACTTCACACTCTCTCACCCTCCTCCCACCACCTCTCAGGAGGGACAGCTGAGCCTTCTCCGGTAGCCTGGGGAGGGGAACTGCAGCTGAGCGGGGGCAGGCACGTGGCCTTGGCGTGTAAGTGGCAGATGAAGATCCACGCTGGCAAGAACTCAGCGAACTCAGCACATGTTTCCCCCGGGGGGGTGGGGTGGAGTGGAGCTTGCTCACTTGACTCAGTGTGTCTGAAGTTTGCGGTAACGCCTACATGGTAGTCCCCCTCCTCGTCCCACCACCCTGGCTCAAGTTCAAACCTGGGAAGCCAGGTTTATTCATATCACAGTGTAGCCTCAACCCTTAAGGCCACAGCACCCATGACAGCGGTGGCAGTGTCCACCCTGCATGGGGCCTGAGTGTGCTGGGGCTGTCTGGTCTGACTGTGGGTTGAATATCCCTTATCTGAAATGCTTGGGACTAGGAGAGTTTTGGATTTCAGATTTTTTCGAACTTTGGAATGTTTGCTCACTTACCAGTTGAGCATCCCTAATCTGGGATTCTGAAATGCTCAAGGGGACAAGACGATGGTCCACAGAGACGTGTCTGAGGTCCCAGTGCTAGCTTTGAGGCTAAGACTTTGGGCTGGGGACAAGGTGGCTTCCATTAATGGGGAGGTGAGAGTTAGGGGATAGAAAAGATGCCAAAAGGGGCAGGGCGCTGCCAGTGAGCCTGTGGGTCTGCTGCCATCACTTCCCACCCTGGCCTGGACAGTGTGAGCTCACAGGAGGAGGCCTCGGCTCTAGGCCTCAGTGATGTGGCCTTGGGCAAGTCACAGCATCCTCTCTGGTCTCCAGTTCTATCTGAGATGAAGGGGTGGGGGAGGTGGGTCATGTCTTCTGCCTGTAATCAAAACTCTAGGACCACGAGTCAACCTCTTCTTCAACCTCTTTCTGAAGAGTGGTTCAAAGCTAAACTCAAGGGTGAGACAAACCTGGGTCTGAATTCTGGTTCTGCCACTAGGCCAGTTACTCAATCTCTTGCTCAGTTTCATTTCCTCATAAGGCCTGCCTCACAGGACTGTACTATACCTGGCCAACAGGAGGGAGATCTCAGGGCAGATATGGCTAACTCCCAAAGTGTACAGCTCCCCAAAGGGCCTGATAGGTGGGGGCTACTGCTCTTACTACCTTTTGGTCCGGGGGTGGGCAGCCCCACTACGAGGTTTAGGGGTTTTAGCTCAGCATGAATTTCATTATGGTCCAACCATCTTCCAGGTCTTGACTTGCCCCTAAGGGCCGTGGCTATATCAGGAGTGGCCTAGGCTGTACCCAGACACCGTGGCTGTGTGCCCCCCCCCACACACTGCTGCTCACACACGAGCACACCAAGGACAGCGACCAGGCCAGGACATGCGACAGGCTGCTCCCTTCCACTTCCAGCCAGCCCAGGGCAGCTAGCAACAGCCGCGCTCTGTTAACAAGTCAGACCCACGGCCACCTGTGATTGTCCTTTACAGAAAGCAGAGGGCATGCACCAGGGACCCTGCCTCGCTTCCCTCTTCAGCCCCTGAGCCCTGGCCTACCTTTTTGACAGCACACTGGAAGCCAGTCTGCTTGTCCTCCATCCTGTGTACCTCTCCGAAGGAGCCTCTGCCCAGGCGGGGCTGGTGCGTGGCCCAGTGGACCTCTTCTCGGTACTCATAATCCACTGGCTTGAGTTTCTGGGGTTAGCAGGCAAGAGAGGCCAGTTTTAGTGGCCAGGGCAGGAGCAGGAGGGATGAAGGCTCTCTAGCTGGTGGTCCTTGCTGAGCTGAGCCCTGGCGACCAGATACCTCTGGATCTAAGGCAGGGCTCTGGGCGGACAGAACCACAGAAGGGCTTACAAGAATCCAGCGGAGGTAAAGGAGAGGCTCATGGGCTGCCTGAGGCCAGCTCATCCACGTGATGAAAAGCCTTCTCCCACATTGTGATTATGGGACAGAAATAGAATTGCCAACAAACCTGACAATGGAAAACTATAACCCCAGCTAGAAGGTAGAAGAAAGAGAGGAAAAGCAGACAGGGGCTGGGGGACAGGGCAGGTCAAGGAATGATGTTATGAGTAGATGGAATAACACCCAGAAACTAAACTTTGGTAAAATCATTTAAGGTTGCAAAGTTCTGTGGAAGAGAACCAGAGGGAAAGGGGAGACAGGGCGAGGTGAAGATGGACACAATCCCCATTTCCCGTGTCAAGCTGCTGTGGGCTCGCTCCTGTTTCCCAGCAGATGTGTCATTCACATGGTACACACTCGCAATCGTGAGCCAACGACCGGAGGAACCGAGAACAGAAATAGCTAAAAAGGCCGCAAAAGTGAGGCTGGGGGTGGAGCGAGAGACGACAGCTTTTCATCCACAATGAGCCCTGTCCTACTATTTCATTTGTCACCACAGGCCTGAGTGACCTAGTAAAGACAGAAAGGCATCCCCCTAAGGTCTGGTGGCTTGCAAGGGACACTGCTCCTCCCCAAGTCCCGGCTGGGGCTCCCGCACTGGGGGTGCTGGGGGAGGGATACAGACGGGTGTTTGGGGGATTAGTTACCTCAGTAAGCAGGACCCCCTCACTGTCCTCGGTTTCAGTACTGGGCTCCCGCGGCCTGGAGCCCCCCGCTGACCAGGTCTTGGCAAGGCTGGCCAGGCTGTGGGCGCGGCCGGAGCTCACGCTGCCTTGCAGAGCATGCACCAGGTACTCCTCCACGGAAGACTTCTCACGGGCACCGTGGGACGGCCAGCTGGGCTCCAGGTGTGTGTCAGGCAGGGGCTTCTGACTGTCTACATAGGCCAGTTTGTTCAGGTGTGGGCCAGGCAGGGGCTTCTGACTGTCTATGCAGGCCAGCTTGCTCAGGTGTGGGCCAGGCAGGGGCTGCTGACTGTCTACACAGGCCAGTTTGCCCAGGAGGAAGGACTCGAGGGGGTGAGGTTTCCAGGGCTGGAGAGGGTGGAATGGGAAGGGGTGGGGCAGTCTGCTGTAGGGGAAGGGGTGAGCAGGCTGGGGCAGGGGGCCTCCATCCTGGGGGTGGTGGAGTTTCCACACGTGGTTCAGACATTGCAAGGGGCTGATCAGTTTGTGAAGTTCCGATCGAGGCAGTGTTGGCCGGAGGCCCTCGCCAAACTGCTTGAAACTGAGCTGGCCGAGGCCTGGTTCCTTCAGAGGCCTGGTGAACTGGGGAGTGTTCCTAACATATGGGGTGCCCAGCGGAGACTCATCCTCCTGTGGGAGAAGATGCAGGTGTGAGGACACAGGGCCGGGGCCAAGGTATGGGCCCCATTCCCAAGGCCCCACGAGCCCGGGGGAGGGTCTCACCTGCACTGGGACGGTGCAGCTCTCCTGCTCAGGGGTCCTGGGTAGGGGTTTGGCCAAGGCCACTCCCGTATGAGCCAGGGACTTCGAGCTCTTCTTCTTCCGTTTCTTCCGGGCTTTGCTGTGACGTTTCCCCTTCCAACACACACGGGCCATTTTGCCCTCGGTTGCATGGGCCACATTGTTGGGGATTTGATCAAGACTCTCAGACTGGCTGTCAAAAAAGAGCCAGATCAACATGTTGAGCATGCGGAGGCAGGAAGAGGGAATGGTTCAGATAACTGTCTCTGTAGTCATGCAGCCCTGAGGTCAAATCCCAGTTTTGTTATTACTTGCACGAATGTGGAAAGTTCCAAAGCCCAAGGAACCTCAGTTTTATCATTTATGAAATGGGTATGGTACTTTCTGCCATGCAGGGCAGAGATGGGGCTTAAATGAAATAGTTCATTTTCAAGGCCTACCTCAGTGCCTGGCCCTAAGGCACACGCCCACAAGCCACGCTTACTACTATGGTGACGGGGCACTCGTTCGGCCCTTCTCCAGAAGGATGGTGGTAGTGGCTACATGGTGCCCCAAGGGGGCGGCCCACACTCAGGACAGGCATGCTCAGCCCTGACTGACCAGAGCTTGTTTCTGTTGCCTCTAGAAGTGGGGACAGTTGAGGCTGGTCGCCTCCACCCCTACAGGTTCCTGGGGGTCCCTGGCTGCTGTCAGAACGTGAGGAGCCACATAAGCACGGACGGCCTGCCTGGGCTGGTGCTGGGTACAGGGGAGCCTGCCCCTCTCTGTTGGCCTTGGGGCCCGTCCCCATCGTGGCTCTGAGGGGCTGGTGTCTTTGCCAGGTGTTCAAGGAGCTGGCGGCAGGGGGTTTCTGAAAGGGCTGCCACACACAGCTGTGAGCAGACCTCAGCTTCAGCCCCTCTTCCTGGCCTCCTCCTCTGCCCCTCGAAGGAGGCCACCGCCAGTCCTGGGGCCTGCCAGAGGCCTATAGGCTTCTCTCAGGCAGCTGAAAGAAGCATGTACCAGAAGCCCCCTACCCTGGACCAAAGGCATCTGGGGTGGCATGAAGAATTCGAGCCCACTGAGCATTTTAAGGTTCCAGGGCAGCAGCCCTCCCCCCAAGCTTTTTATCACTAGCAGGTTCCAAGTTCCAATGATACAAAAGTCCGCCTGGTGGTAGAGGAGCGAACTGTTTCCAGGCTGAATTGTCAGTTTCCAAAAATCATCTTTGGGGGAGTAAGGGGCCTGGGAACAGACAGCGTTGCCCTGGCTTCCTGGCTTGGGGCAGGCTGAGTCTGTCTGTCCCCTCCTGTTTCCACAGCCCTCAGCCCTACGCAGGTGTGTCTCACAGGAGCAAGACAGTGGGTCTCCTCAGGAGCACAGCGGAAGGGCCCCGCAGCCTGCGCTCCCGGCCACGCTCCAGCTCCCGTTCCCAGCACCCTCCCTATTATGGGAAACCAGGGGCTGCATCAAGGACTCTGAGGAGAATAAAAATAAAATGTCAAGCTGATGTGACCCAGAGGCAGTCATCCGCAAGCCGTGAAAAGCTTTTGAAAAGCTTATTTGGCTCAGAGAGCCGCTTGGCCAGGAAAGTCTGGGTGAGTTCCAGAAGCTGAAACCAGGTGCTGGAGGAGATGAGGTGAGCAGAGGGGGCGGGGGACAGGGGACGCCACCCTCAGACCTGCCTCCCACCCCAGCCGGCCTTCTTACCTGTACTGCTTTGACCCAGCGATGAAAATGCGTTCTGAAAAGGTAGGGCTGAACTCTTGGCTATTCTCACCTTTTAAATAAAGGAAGAGGACTTGGATTAGCAAAGAGAAGGAACAGGAATTCAAAACTGAGGAGAGAGACACTTTCCAGAGATCGCCTCTTAGGCCTCTCCTTCCCAGACCATCCCTACCTGGCAGCTCACTCCCCACCAAAGTCCCCTTCTCACAGCCTGTCTCTCCCCTCCTTCCCAGCATGACAGCCAAGAGCAGACCACGGGGGCCGCAGCCACCCTCTGTCACAGAGTGTGACTACAATATGGGATCACAGGGTGGGCACCGCACCTCACTTACTGTGACGCTGAGGCAAGATAATCTACATAAAATACTCAGCACAGTGCCTGGCACAGAGTAATGCTCAATAAATAGAAGTGCATAAGTGCATATATTGTACACATAAGTGCATATATTGTATGTATGTATGTGTATGTAAAACCATTATTTTGCCACTCATTTCATTTTAATTTTCATTCTCTCATGTCTCCTCAAAAACCAACCAGAAGAAGTAGGAGGAGGGGAAGGAGGTGTATGTGTGCAGAAATGCCATCACAAGCTGTCAGGCTCTCCAGGTGCCACCTCAGAAATCTCTGGGGTTGGAGTACAGGTGCTGGGGAGAGGACTCCTGGCCCTACCCAGCCCTCCTGGGAGTTTCTGCCTCGGGGGCGCCGCCATTACTAGTCATCTTGAGGTACGGGAGCAGAAGCAGAAAGGACTGGACCAGGCCTCACCCTGCTGTCCCTAGACTGGCCCAGCAGGCCTAAGAGCAGGGTGTTCATTCGCAGGGTGGGGCCGCTTCTAGGTGGAAGGTGGTGAAGGGCCTGCAGGCCTTGGCGGGGCTTTCCGGGAGACCTGGCCTTTCCTGTCTGGGCCTCTCCAGACGCCTGGGCTGCTCAAGGTCACAGCAGAAGGTTGCTGGCCTGCTTGCCGGTCCTGCAAAGAGCCCTGAGCATTCTGGCCTCTCACCCCCTCCCCGCACTCTGGTCACAATGGGTACAGCCTCCGCTCGCCAAGTCTCCCGGCTGTGTCCCATCCCAGCGCCTTTACGGATCCCACTTCATGCTGATTCTTGGCTTACACTCGCAGTTATGTCTGTGAATATCTTATCCAGTGGTCACCCTGACCTCTCTCCTCCGCAGGATCCCCGTGCCCAGCCACCCATCTGCAGGCCCATCCATCTGCCCCTGTGCCCACGCCAACCCCAGCCCTTACACTCGGCCTGGGCGATGATGGAGATGGCGGCCGGGCCTCCCTCGGAGCCTTCCTTGGCTGTGCCCTTGGTGATCACGTCATTCAGGATTTCCCACTTCCCGCAGAACACGGGGCTCTTCTCTACAGCCTCACGCTTGTAGATGGAGCTCTGTTTCTTGCCCATCGGCTGTGTCTTCTCCTTGGCTTTGGTGAGCTCCTTCTGCTGCCCGACTGCCGAGCCCGGGGCGCCTGGGCAGGCCATTTCCATCACTGCCATCTCCCAGGCTCACTCTTATCCTAAGAGAGACCAACAGGGAGCAGGTCACTGATGATCCCAGAGCCCAGGGGGCACAAGCCAGGCTGGGGTTGGAGGAGAAAGGCAGGGGCAAAGGGCCTCTGCCTCTTTATGCCACACGTGTTTATCCTCCAAACATCCCCAATGGGAACACAGTCAAGCTCTCAACATCTGCACATGTTCCATGTGGCATAGGCCCCTGACCCCACCAGCACCCCAACGTAAAAACTCCTCCACTGTGCCCAACGAGGAGGATACTGGCACATTCCCCATAGGATGGTGGTGGTACAAATATTTGGGTTGGTTCTTTCTTGCCTTTATAATGGCTGGATCTTTTTCTGTTGTTTGTTTTATGGCAAACTGCTTCCCTAGGACAGGGTGGTGCATCCTATCCTCCAAAACCATCACCTCATTGACCCCACATCTGCCTCGCCCTTTTAGAGGACACGTCTACCTAAGCTGTCCCCAGTGGCTTTTCTCCACGTGGAGAGAATTAAGGTTTTGTTCTGTTTCCTAGCAGGAGGAGATATGTGTGTGTGTGTGTGTGTGTGTGTGTGTGTGTGTGTGTGCGCGCGCTTGTGCACGTCTATCTTACGAAGTCTAAAGCTTAGCATGCTAATGGCGCTCAGCACTTGGCTCCTCTTCCAAGATGCATCTGTGTGTGGCTCTCCAGAAGAAACTGACATGCTTCCTCCTCTAATGTCCAAACTCATTGGCTGGAAACATCAAGGTGTCATTTTTCTTTCAGGCAACACATTGAGGGCCCTAACACCAATCTATACTCTAGAAATATGAGGACAAAGCACAAGACTTCACCTCTCTCTGGGTCCTGTCCTGCCCAGCCCTGCACGTTACCAAGGAAACTGCAAGGGCGCCGACAATCTGTACAAACAGCCTGCAGATTAGAATTGTTGTAAAAGAGAACAGCACCAATTTGAGATTGTTACCATTTGGAAACCTTTTTAAAGACAGGGACTTTTTAAAGGGCATGGCCCCTCTAGGGTGTGACTTGCTTTAGACAAAGCCTGAGGAGGTACCAAAGGCACAATAGGTTTTTGAATAATTGCTCTCTGGTGGTAGGTTGGTCTTGAAGCTGTTACTAACAGAGGTTGTCTTCCCTGCTGTAACTCCACAAAACGTGGCTCACTCCTCCTTTTGCTCCTGGGGCAGAATAGACCACATGAAGCCAAACCTGTAATGCCTCTGGCCTTTTGCCCCATCAGGCCTGAAGATTAAATGAGACAGTCGAAAGTGGAGAAATACCAGGTCAAAGCCTTCTTCCTACTGAATCTGCTTCACTCATCTTTTTCCACCACGATGGCTATGAAAGGCTGAGTCAGCTTGATTGGGGTGGGGGTTGCTGGTGGTGTCTCTGTCTTCAGGGGCTTCCTGGCTTTGAACTCAGAGCAGCTCCAGCTTCCCGCATGGAGGCCTGGATTTGGTTCTGAAGGCGAGATGCCGAGGAGGCTGAACCGGCAATCTCACTGCTACCTGACGGTCTGAAGAAGTCTAAGGGTTGTTCTGATGTCCCCTTAGGCAAACGGCCTCCAAGGCAGGCTATTTTTCTGACAAAAAATAGACTTTCATCCCACCGCAGACCTCCCCAACCCGTGCCACTCCAAATAACAAGCTGATCTAAGGCCTCGAGTCAATCCTACCTTTCTCACCCTCTTTAGCAGGGTTAATGAAATGTTAAGAAACCTCCTAACCTAACAGCAATAGAGCTTGCAGGGGGTTTGACCTGGCTTTAACCACCTCATTTTTATTTGAAGAATCTGAGGCCCAATTAAGTGGAGACTTGCCCCAAATCACTAGCCCCTGTGTGGCACAACACACCCGGACCCCAGACCCCAGGCTCTCTGGGCTGCTCCCGGGTCACGGGCAAACGCAGGAGGCAGCGCTCTTGGTCCTCCCCAGTCAGAGGGGGCCTTGCACGCAGTGCCTCCTCCTGCATACGGCGGCATGGCAGGGCACAGATGACACAACTGACGAGGCTGAATGAGGGACTCGAAGCACAAAGAGTGCTTTTCCATAACCTCTAGAGACAGGATGATCCTGAGCACTGAGGATGAAGACAGTTCCACCTGGCGAGTGAGAACAATGAGGCCCAATAGAGCGGAGGTTGCTCCCAGCGCTACTCAGAGACCTAGCTGTACTCGGGCCCAGACAGCCTGTGTCTGTCTGGCATGGCCCAACCGAGTGTTCTGGATAGCTCATCCTGAGCTAGAGCTCCTCCAGAGAGGCGTGGGGCACCCGTCAGCCCCAGGAGCCATCTTTCCTCTTGGTGGTCAGCTGGCCAGGGCCCCGATCCTCCCTCCACGAGTGCGCAGGCTCCCTCTCCTCAGAGGAGAAGTTGGGGCTAAGGCAGCCACGCTCGGAGCCTCATTTGCAGTCCCCTGGTGACTCATCCCACAGCCTGGCAGGCAGACTGTAACAAGGAGGCTGTTGAGAAGCTGACCCAGCAGATGGCAGCTGAACTTGTGAAGGGCAAGGGGAAAACAGGCTGATCTTCACCTCCCGGGGGCACAAATCATGGCCTGGGAGCTGTAAAGCTTCTCCTGTGGCTGGCTTTCCTGTGCCACATGACCATGACTCAGACCTTCACGGACAGCCTCCAAGTTTAAGAGGCTATTCTTGGGACACTTTGGCCCGATAGCAGTTCCCTACACCTACACGCACGCTTGCCCCTCCCTCCCTCCCTGCTTCTACCTGGGTTCTGGTCTACAGAAATCAGGGTTCTGTATTCAGCCTGGGACTGCTGGCGGGTGGCCTTCCCAGCCCAGGGCTTTGGCCTCTGACTTGTCACCCCAGCTCACTGTTCTGCAGCTTCACCCCTTCTCTCTCCTGCAGCAAGTGGGGAGTGAGGACTAAATGCCTCTATCTTTGAAGGCAGGTCTAAATCCTGATCCGTTCCTCAGTCCGGACACTCTCCCAGCTCCATTCGGGCCCCAAATGCACTCAGCCCTCTGCTCTCTGCAGCAGCTGAGGACGTGAGCAGTGGCAACAGCCAAACCACTCGGCTCACCCACAAACCCAAGCAAACAAAACAGGAAAGGAAAGGAGAATTCTGTATTCTTTTAGGCCTGGCATATACACACTGCATGCTCTCCCTTCTGTGATGTGTCCATGGCCCCTGGAGAAGTCTGGGGGTAGGAATGACCTAGATGGTACCAGATCGACCTGTGGGCATATTTGTATGAGGGTTTCTTTTTTTTCTTTTTTCTTTTTTTTTTTGAGACAGAGTCTCGCTTTGTTGTCCAGGCTAGAGTGAGTGCCATGGCGTCAGCCTAGCTCACAGCAACCTCAAACTCCTGGGCTCGAGTGATCCTTCTGCCTCAGCCTCCCGAGTAGCTGGGACTACAGGCATGCACCACCATGCCCGGCTAATTTTTTTATATATATATCAGTTGGCCAATTAATTTCTTTCTATTTATAGTAGAGACGGGGGTCTCGCTCTTGCTCAGGCTGGTTTTGAACTCCTGACCTTGAGCAATCCGCCCGCCTCGGCCTCCCAAGAGCTAGGATTACAGGCGTGAGCCACAGCGCCCGGCCTGTATGAGGGTTTCTTAATCTGGGGTTAAGGATAGCTTCAGGGAAGTCTGTGAGCCCCAGAAACTATATGCAATTTGCATTTTTCCAGGGAAGACTTGGTCTGAACTTCCCCCACATTCTCTAGGGGTCTTCCATTCTTCCACTAAGGGTGCTCTAGTCCCCTTAGAAGATCAGACTGGGGCTAAATGCCTGATTCTGGCTCTACTCTTTCATTCCAAGGAAAGCTCTCTAATGTAGCAGTTTCCAAACTGACTGCAAGTTAGAATAACCAGATTGAGTTCTTAAAATGCACTCCTTCTAGACCTACTGAATCAGAGTCACTGGGCACAAGGCCCAGAATCTGTTCGTCATACACATTCTCTGGACGATTCTGATGCCAAGGGGCCAGGATGTCACTTGACCCCTGCTCTTTACTCTAAGGCTACACTGTTCAAAATGGTAGCCACTAGCAACATGTGGCTATTTATATTTAATTAAAATGAAATAAAATTAAAAAATCACTTCCTCTGTTACATTAACTACCATATTGGACAATACAGATAAAGAACATTTCAATCACTGCAGAAAATTCTATTGGAAAGTGCTGGTCTGAGGCTAAGACAACAATGTTTTCTCTGACAGCAAAATTTCTGTTCCTTGGATTCTGGGACAGGAATGGGGCTTAGGATAAATGAATTTTTTATTCATTGGAAGATGCAAAAGTATTATTTTAAATGTTGATCTTTAAGATGATAACCTTTCTAAAATGTATCATATTTCAGTTCCCTGTTTTGGTAAGCCTAGTACAGTAAAAATGCCAGATTAGGAACCAGAAGTTATGGGTTCTACCCTTGGCAAGTTTTTTTTTTTTTTTTTTTTTAAAGAGCAGGGGGACCATTTTTGTCAAATGAAATCATACCTCGACTTCCAATGTCTGAAAGAGCTAGAAGCATGCAACTGGCATGTAAGTCACATCAGAACAGCTGCTCTGGCTAAAGGAGGTGGGCAAGTGCGCCACACGCTCAGCCTCCCTTCATCCACCAAGGACATCTGTAGAATCCTAGGTCTCCACAAAAAGAGTTTGGAAACCAGTGGCCTAGGAAATCATTTGAGGTTTCTTTTAGTTCTGAGAACTTAGCCCATTTGTCAGGATTATTCGAGGGCTGGATGACTCCAATTCAGAATAGTAATTGTCAATATTTACTGAGCATCTACCATTTTAATCTCACTTTCAGATGTGAAGAAATGGCTTGGAGAAGTTCGGTAGCATGTTTAAAAAGTTAGGCAGTTACAGGTTGCAAAGATGGAGTTGAACCCAGGCTTCTGCCTTCTGAGCCTGCATCTAAACCTTGAGCAGGCCACTTCGCTTCTCTGAGATTCTTCTATTAGCTTCTTGAGGTTGTTTCAGGACTGAACGAGGGAGAGTACATGAAATGCCAGTCAGTGTGCCTGGCCAATAGAAGATGCTATG